AAAGACATTGCACAGAGCCCAGAGACCTGAGATGCCATTGTAAAGAGGGGAATGGGAAACAAAATAGCTACTGTTACAGTTCCTCCATGAGATCAAACCTAAGCTTCATACCATAGTGAATGCATATGCTGGATGTGTCCAGCAGTTCCTGTTCGACACACAAGCATCTAAAATCCTTGCTCTTAGAGAAGCCAGAGCCCAGTTTGCAGCATTGTCAGGTAATCTTACCCTACAGCATTAACTCAACCTTCTCCTGCATGACACCATCTTGAGCTCCACCCTGTCCCCCAGAATCTCATGGTGTGACTAACCAGCACAAATCAACTTCCTAAATTTCCAGAAAGAAGTCTGCCCATAGGAAACAGCTCAGGTGACCTTCCCTCACACCAGAAGCCGTAGGAGAACCTGGGCAGCCCACCCTCATCAATTCAGTATGTAAAGTCCCCACGAAGAAACAGTGTGCAGCCAATTAGCATTAACTGGTCTTCTATAGGAGCCTATTATTATACCTTAGCCCCTGCATGACCTTCAGACAGTTATGGGGAGTGGGAAAAGCTCTGAATAAATAAAGCATTGAGTAATGCATGCTGTTGACATGAGCATGTCAAGGACCCTAGCCTCAAACCTGTACTTAGCTGGAGAGGCTTGGAGGGATAGCAAATTCTTCCGCTGGCCCATGTGCAGATATTGATAATGTGTGCAGAAAGTAGCCACCATAGCTTTCTCCCCCTGGAGAGCCTGAAGAATGTTCCCCTGTAGAAGCCTTCACTACCATGATTAACTAAACCTGCTCCCTCTATTCAGCTGTGTGCAAAATCTCTGCCTCTCTATTCAACCGTGTAAATAAGCACACTGAGCTAGGAAGGGGAACTTCAACTTCTCCATCAGAGACTCCAGTGCACTCAATCCCAGCTTTTTCTTTGTGTCTGTGTCTCTGTATATGTGTTTGCCATTTCTTCATTCCCATGTCACCCCAGCCGGCTCTCTCTCTCTCTCTGGAGCAGTGCAGGGACAGAGAAGAGTGCCTTATTCCTGCTATCAGGCATGCTGTGTTCTGTCTGATCAGAACTTCCAGGAAGTTGTCATGGTGATGGAAGCAAACCTGTAGTCCCAGCATTCAGGAGGCAGAGGCAGGTGGATCTACATAAGTTTCAAGCTAGCCTTGAACTACATAGATTACCCTGTCTGGGGGGAAAATGACCTCCATAGAAGTCTGACCCACACAACCCCCAGACACTGATACATGTCCCTTTTTCATTACCAAGTACATGACAGCATATCATTGTGATCCTTCTGTAGCCTTGTCCTCTGAGGCTCTCAGAAACTGTCTATCACTGTCTGTTCTAGTGCTGTGCCAGGACAGCAAAGACCATGGATGCCAGCACCCAGATCTGCTCCAGGAGAATAAAAAGATGACTCTGAGTAGTGGAGGCTTAGGAAAAATTCTTAATTGAGGGTTGCTAAACTTTTTTATCTGAGGGAAAAAAGAAAAGAAATACATGCTTTCTGCTGGTAATCTTGGTAAAAGCAAACATGTGCATGCTTTCCCGATGGTAACCTTCTCTTTTACTTCAACTTAAATAGTCTCTTTTTAAAACCTCTCTTTATATACATACATCTCTCTCCTGCTCAGTTACATAGCTTTATATTCAGTTACAACATCTCATTACATACTGTTACGTATTTCTCTTTACATACACACCCACTCTCACACCTACACTCACACTCATTCACTCTCACACATAATTCTTTTACAGCATTCACTCACACTTTACTCACTCACTCTCACCCACTCACTCCCTCACATTTCTCTCTTGCTTCTTATTCTCCATCTCTCACTCAACACACACACACACACACACACACACGCACGCACGCATGCTTGCACGCACGCACGCGCACACACACTTCATATTCTGCAGCAGCTCTCACATAGCTACTCTACACAGCTGTCCCTCTCCACACCACCTCTGCTTCTATTACAGCCAAACTCTGAACAATTAAAGTTACATTTTCAGAGCCTGACCCATTCTCATAACACAAGATATGTCAAGTAGCGCCTCTTGGGCTAGTAATGTCACATTGACCCATGCACATAGCTCTAAGTTGGTGAGGGTTCCCAGACAGTAAACAATTGGCTGAACCTTGAAGTTCAGTAGTCCATGCAGAAAGGTCCATTGCTACAGGTGTTATGCTTATTAAGGTTGCTTCTATTCTGACCTTCAATCAGTAAAACAACAGCTAAGAAAATGGCCTAATGTATGCATCTCTAGGGGAAACCAGATATTGGTGTTTGTTTGTTTGTTTATTTTGGAGAAGAGCCTTTTTTCTTTTATTTATTTATTTATTTATAACCAAGTCCATTTAAATGAAAACAAATATTTATAGACAATATTTGGGAATTTGGGTGTCGTTCTTTCCAAACTACTTCCTGTTGGTAAGGAGCACTGTCATGGGGGATTCTAAGAAGATGCAGAAATCCTGGCTGTAGTCCAGCTGTTTTGAATGTAGGATCACTTGGTACTCTGTTTCAGGCAGTCTGGCTTGATCAAACCACATTAGTCTGGAAGGAATCCATAGCTTTTCATTTTCTGTGGAAACAAAAATAGAAATCCTTTTCCCCAGTAACTTGTCCTTGAACTTAAATTTTTGAGTCAGAACATTTTTTTTAATTTGTTATTTTACATGTCGATCCCAGTTCCCTCTCCCTCCCTTCCTCCCTTTTACCCTCTCTGCCCTCTCACATGCACTCTAACCACCCTCCCATCCCCCCACCCCAATTCCATATGTATGGGAATGCCATCCAGATGGGGTCATGTAGATCTGACAGGTCCTGTGAAGTAGGGACTAGGGCTTCTCTCCTATCTCTAGGTTAAGGCAGTATTCCTCCATGGGGGATGTGTTTGCAAGGTCCTTTTGTGCACCAAGGATACATCCTGGCTCCACTGTCTGAGGTCCCTTAGAAGGCTCAGTCCTTCTGGCTGAGGCTCATATTCAGGGGGGGGGGGCCTGAGTCAGTCCCATGCTGGCTTCCCAGCTATCAGTCTGTGGCCCATTAGCTCCTCCTTGTTCAGGTAAGCTGTCTCTATGTGTTTCTGCCGCCTGGTCTTGTCCTCTCCATCTGCATCTGGGTTCTGGTTCCACTCAGTGTTTAGTTATGGGTGTTTGCTCCTGTTTCCAACAGGCATTAGATGAGGACTCCATGGATAAGTTTAGTTGTTGATCTCACTATCTGGGAAGGTCATTTATGGTAGCCTTTCCACGGAAGCTCAAATTGTTAGTTGGCGGCAGTCTTGTAGTTCTCTAGACCTTTCTTTGTGTTCAACTTTATCTTCAAACCAATATTGGCTCCCTCTTTTATGCTCTCTCTCTCTCTCTCTCTCTTTCTCTCTCTGTCTGTCTGTCTGTCTCTCTCTCTCTCCCTCTCCTGTCTTCTATTCCTATCCGGACTCAATCTTCCTAGTTGCACATGTTTTCCTTTCCTCCCCCTCGTTTTATCCTACTTCTCTCTCCATTTGCTGCCCCCCCCCCACTTCACCTGAGCTCTGGGGGACTTGTCCCTTCCCGCTTCTGTGAGGGACTTTATATGAATCTCTTAGAATACACCTTTTATCCTAGTTCCTCTGGTGGTGTGAATTATAGGCTGGTGATCCTTTGCTATAGGTCTAAAATCCATATATGAGTGAGTACATACCATGTTCCTCTTTTTGTGACTGGGTTACCTAATTCATGATGGTTTCTTCAAGTGCCATCCACTTGCCTGCAAATTTCAAGATACCATTATTTTTTTCTGCAGAGTAGTATTCCATTGTGTAGATGTGCCACATCTTCATTATCCATTCTTCAATTGAGGGGCATCTAGGTTGCTTCCATGTTCTTGCTATTACAAATAGTGCTGCTATGAACATAGTTGAACAGATGTCTTTGTTGCATGGATGTGAATCCTTTGGGTATATGCCTAAGAGGGGGATTGACGGGTCCTGTGGTAAACTAATTCCCATTTTCCCGAGGAACCGCCATACTGATCTCCAAAATGGCTGTATGAGTTTGCACTCCCACTAGCAGTGAAGGAGTGTTCCCCTTTCTCCACATCCTCTCCAACATGAGTCATCATTGGTGGGGAAACCAGATATTTGTCTCCAGGGGCAAGCAGCCTGCTTTGAATTTGTTCTGAAATCTACAGTTAGATATTATCTGTGTAAGAGTCTGTCTTCATGCCTGAAAATATGTCAGTCTGAGCAATGTAAAATACCCTAGTATTATTTCTACTCATCAGAACTATACAACTAGGCAGAAATCATCATCCTGACCATCCACAGCTGTGTATGTGCCCAACAACTATAAAACATACTACCAAAGGACTGTGGAAAGAACCCAACATTGCTTGATTTTTCTTTTTCTTTTTCTTTTTTTTTTCTACTTTCTTTCTTTTTGGTTTTTTGAGACTGGGTTTCTCTGTATTGTTTTGGAGCCTGTCCTGGACCTAGATCTATAGACCAAGCTGGTCTCAAACTCACAGATTCTCCTGCCTCTGCCTCCTGAGTGCTGGAATTAAAGGCATGCACCACCAACACCTAGCCATTGCTTGATTTAAAAAAATAAAAGAAAGAAAGAAAAATAAAAAATAAATGGATGAATATTTAAAGAAACGTTAATTACTCTGTTTAAAATACGTGCAGTATGCCTATGTTAAAATATCACACTATACCCCATAAACATATATTGAAAAGTTATAATTAAAAGGCAAATGAAAAAAGGAAATATAGAAATATTTTAGACTAACACAAAGAGAGTAAAGTGGTACAGGTCTGACCCTTAGCCACTGTCAGATGACAAATCATTTCTCTGCCTCTTGAGGTAAATCATTCACTTCAACTGACATACTGCACTTTGAGAACAAGCTCTGTCTGCCTTAACCTTTTCCCCTCCCACAGCTAGGTTGGAAGTCCTCACAGGATTTATGCAGGAGGTAGAAAGGATTCCTGAGCAGTCTGTGATTCACGAGTGCCTGCATCATGAGTATCTCTGCTCTGAGCCCCAGATTTGCTGGCAGCATCTCTGGCTTCCTACAAGTGGCCTCTGTGCTTGGCTTGCTTCTGCTGCTGCTCAAAGTGGTCCAGCTCTACCTGCACAGGCAATGGCTACTCAAGGCTTTCCAGCAGTTCCCATCCCCACCCTTTCACTGGTTCTTTGGACACAAGGTATGAAGGAAGGGGAAGAGTTGTGAGAGAGCAGGGAGGGTGGGGGGATCTCAGAGACTGACCATCAAATCACAGGATACAGCCCACTGTACATGAAATCCAAGTACTTCATGAGACACACAGCTCAGACTGAGACACTCTCCAATATTAGGATGGCTCAACCTGCCTGGCTGTTGCTCTGCTCTGTACTGATGATAGACCTGCACTTGGAAGGCCATGGTTGAGGTTACCTAGTCTCCTCCTCTTGAGGCTGAGCACCTTCAATCGCCTCTGGTGGTCTCAAACAGCTTCCAGATGGTTCCCTGCATAGTAGCTCATGGATAGTCTCTCCCAAGCTCAGAAATTGTCTGGGAAACAGACATGAGTGAGATGGAAACTTTGCCTCATGGGCTTCTTGGTGTGTCAGTGGCACATATCTCAGAAGCTGTCAGACACAGGAAGTTCACATTGCTGGGATGACTGTATAGCTGCCCCAGAAAATCCCCCCAGGAGAATTTTCACTATGGGTGAATAACAACCGAAATCCTTAAGTCAGAGCACATAAAGGGAAAAGGCTGTGTAGTGTCCTTACATGAGATCACTGATGCTAGAATTTACTCATGGTCCGTTTAGCTCTCCATTCTCTTTCCACACAACCTGCACTGAAAGCTACTTTGATTCAAGCATACCATCACCTCACTGTACCACAGTGCTCAGTTCAAGAGCCAGGCACTGTAAGGAGTAAGGTTTTTCCTCCGGCCACTGGTCTTGTTCTGCCACCGCACCAGCCCCAATTAACACACAGAGACTCTGTATTTGATATAATGCTGTTGGCCAGGTACTAGTTTCTTATCAGCTAGCTCTGTCTTTAATTATTAACCCATTTCTGTTAATCTAATATTTCCACGTGGTCTCTCTTACCGGAGAGCTGGCTGCCGTCCTGCTCTCTCCAGACTCTCCATCTTGACTCCTCCTTACTCCTTCCTCTTTCCTCCTTGTCTCCTAGTCCCGCCTATCTTGTTTTCCTATTGGCCAACAGTGCTTTATTCATTAACCAGTATGAGAAACATATATACATAATGGCATTTCCCATCAAGGCACAGATTCTGAGATCTCCCAGGAAGAAGATGGTGTAGCAGCCTGCATATTGGAGAGATAGAGTATTTACTCCTTCTGCTTACACCTCAGGAAATAAGGCCCATAACCAATTGGGTGGATACATGGAGAGGCATTCAACAGGATTGTGCTCTTAGAAGGAGATGCATGGGGATGTGATGCTTATGTGTACAGCCGAGGATCCACCCAACAGCACTGTCAAATCCAGCTCAGGACCAGGCCCTGGTGTAGCAAAGCTCTGAGTGATAGCACAGATAGTCCATCAAACTGCCCCAAAGTCTGGGATGCTTCTGAAAACTGTAGAACCATGTTGATTTGCTTCTTCTGCTCTTTCCTCCAGTGCAGAAAACTAAACTAGGGTCCCACTGCTTTATCTTTCCCTTGGCAGCAGTTCCAAAGTGCCCAGGAGATAGAGCAGATTATGAAGTGTGTAGAGAACTTCCCAAGTGCCTTTCCTCGCTGGTTCTGGGGGAGCAAAGCTTACTTTACTGTCTATGACCCTGACTACATGAAGGTGATTCTGGGACGATCGGGTAAGAGCATATCATTGTGAAGAGAGTTGTGCCTTCCTCATTGTAATTAGCTCTAAGCTGTCAAATCCATGAGTGTGCCACTCAGCCATTGCTCTATACACTCTAGCTACCATTCTGCTGAGCAACAACCCAGAACATGGCCTACAGCACTCAGTATTAAAATTTCAAACCCCTTAGCCAAACTTTGTTATCTTTGTTTTTTAATCAAATTAAGATGAAACATTCCTGTAAGTGTCCTAGGTCTGAAAAACACAAGTCAGACACATATTAGATTAAATTTGAAATCTCTAATTGTTTCCTGCCTGGATTCATAGCATAACTAAGCCATGATCCACTGTAATACACACACACACACACACACACACACACACACACACACACACATCTTTTTCACAATTGTCCTGTTCTTTGACTTTGAACACATGGACTGTTGTTCTTCACCAAATCATCATCTAGCCTCGGGAGAGTCCAGCTACTGGTACATGAATCCTGCCTTCCTAAGCCTAACAGTTTGGATAAAGCTAGAAAGAAATATAAGGAAATGGACAGTGACATAGGACATTTTGCCAACAAACAGCCATTAGAATGCTTGACTTCAACCACAGCTGCCTTATTTCTCCCATTTCTTGTTTCTGTTTCAGATCCAAAAGCTAATGGTGCCTATAGATTGCTGGCTCCTTGGATTGGTATGTGTAAATTTGAATTGTGGTCTAGTCCCAATTTGGTTTTGTCAGTTCTGTGACTCTCTTCCACAGAGAACAAAGTGTGACAGTCCACCACTGTCTTGAGCTAGCCCCCCCTCCCCTAAAGGACTAGAAGCTCTACTTCTGATGCTGCCCTTTCCCAAATAATCACATCCAAGTATTGTATATGTTCCTAGTTGGTCTACCCCCCCCCCTTGACTCTTTGGGAATTTTTATCTCAGAGTTGTCATAATCACAGAATGTATGCCAGTCCCATCAGGTAGGCAATTCATGTTCTGAATGGCACCATTTTTCAGAGTTGTCATACTCAGCTCCACTTCACACCACTCCCTAAGATTATCTAACTGTCTCTCTGGTCCATCTCACACATACACACACATCTCTGGCCCAGGCTATGGTTTGCTCTTGCTGAATGGACAGCCATGGTTCCAGCACCGGAGGATGCTAACCCCAGCCTTCCACTATGACATTCTGAAGCCCTATGTAAAAACCATGGCCGACTCTGTCCATCTGATGCTGGTGAGTTCATCTAACTTTCTTCTCCTCTGTTCTCCTCAGCTCTGCTGTCCTTGCTACATCAGGTTCTGGGTCTGAAACTGCTACTACAGCCACAGCATCTTCATCATCTTCCTTCTACTCTTACTGCTCATATTCCTCTCTTTCTTCTTTCTCTCCCTCTATATCACTCTTTGCCTACTCATAGAGTGTACACCAACAGGCTCCCCATGTGTATTCTACTGTGAACATAGGTTCTTCAAACAGAGATGAAACAGAAATAGTCCAGGTACCAGGATATGACCATACTTGACCATTGTCCAAGGCAAAGTGCATCATGGTAGATAGAGATTCCAATTTCCTCTTCATATCCTCAACTTAGAGATTTCCCAGGATGATGCTGAATCAGAGTTTCCCTTCAGTCTCAGAGCTTCTGCATGGACTTGAGTGAGTTTGCAGGGAATAGAGTACCATATCCACATTGTCATAGCCAACCCTGCCATACCACAAACATACAACAGGACTCTGGATACAGATCCAATTGTTCTCAGCAATCTTTAATGAACACATGGTAATTAAACTCACTGGTGACCCTGTCAGAAATGCCCATAGTGGCTACTTGGGCCTTCTTATGATTGATACATGGAAGTCCTACCATTGTCTCAGGTTGGGCTCAGCCCTGCAAACACTGATGTATCGCCTTCTTTGCCCCAAAAACAGTTACACAAGAGACACTGTATTAGATATAAAGCTGTTGACCAGTTACTTGTTTCTTATCAGCTAGCTCTGTTTTAAATATTAACCCATTTCAATTCATCTAAGTATTTCCACGTGGTCTCATCTTACCAGAGAGGGGGGGCTGGCATTCTTCTCTCTCTGTCCTCCATCCTGGATCTCCCTACTACTTCCTCTCTCCTCTTAGTCTCCTAGTCCCACCTATCTTGCTTTCCTTTTGGCCAACAGTGCTTTATTCATTAACCAATATGAGAAACATATTTACAGAATGATGTTTCCCATCATATGTGTTTCTACATTTAATGTTAAAAATAATTTGCAAGAATATAGGTATCTTTTTGCAAATTGTTTTTTGCAATCTGTAGAACATGTTATCTAAATTGGAGGACTTACAGCAGGGTAACTGGAAATATATGGAAAGAATCCAGTCTATTGAACACAGTCTCTTATGGAAATTCAGACAATGTTTCCCTCCCTCTGCAGGACAAATGGGAAAAGCTGACTAGTCAGGACTCCTCTATAGAGATCTTTCAGCACATCTCCCTGATGACCCTAGACACTGTCATGAAATGTGCCTTCAACCACAAGGGTAGCGTCCAGGTGGATGGGTGAGTGACAACCCTTGAACTTCAGGGCTTTGGTCTTACCAACTGGTATAGCCTCATCTGACACTGTGGTAGGGCAACTTGGATAATTGCATTCACAAAAAAAATTCTGGAATATGACCCCAGACCCAGGTCAGTCTCTGACAAAATCCAGCCCTGCTCCAATCACAGATTACTGATTCCTAGCTGAGGTGGATGTCTAGATATTAATGCTACCTTCTGCAATCTTGAAAATTACCAGGGCTATAGGACAAAATTAATGTTGTGCCTCAATGTTCTCTGTCTCTACCATAAAGAAAATCTCGCTCCAGTGTCCATCTATCTCCTAGTCAGATATCTTCACAGTTAACCTATTGTATGTCTTCTTCCTCAGAAATTACAACACCTACATCCAGGCCATTGGAGACCTGAACAACCTATTCTATTCCCGTGTGAGGAACATCTTTCATCAGAATGACACCATGTACAATCTGTCTTCCAATGGCCGCATGGCCAACCGTGCCTGTCAACTCGCCCATGATCACACAGGTTCTGTCTGTACCTCATTTCCCAGGATTACCTAAAAGGGGCTTGCTGTTGACGAATTCTGAGGCAGATGTAGACCCTTCAGTGCCCCTATAGTATCTGGGTCACACACATGTACATACTGTAACACTGCAAATATTTAAGTTGGGATGTCAGAATGCCAGATGTTATGTGGGTGTCATCATATTGGTAATGTTTAGTGAGATCTAATCCAACAGTTCAAGCAGAACTTCCTTGGCCCATGGTCCAGAAAGGAGATCTGACCTGCATTAGATGGTACTGGTCTTCTAACCCTGACCACTCTTTAGTTACTGAGCTATATATAGCACATAGCTTTAAGCAAGGAGTCTTGTGGAGCTATATGATGTTACTGTAGCTCTCAGGTCTCTGTGATAACTGCTGTTCTGGAACAGATGGAGTGATCAAGCTGAGAAAGGATCAGCTGCAGAACGAAGGAGAGCTGGAGAAGGTCAAGAAGAAGAGACGTTTGGATTTTCTGGACATCCTCTTGTTTGCCAGGGTGAGTGTGTCACAGAGCCTTATGTATCACAGAGAATCTGCCTAAGAGCACACAGCTCTGATGATGCCTGTTGCCTCCCTCAGATGGAGAATGGGGATAGCTTGTCTGACAAGGACATACGTGCTGAGGTGGACACATTCATGTTCGAGGGCCATGACACCACAGCCAGTGGAGTCTCCTGGATCTTCTATGCTCTGGCCACTCACCCTGAACACCAGAAGAGATGCAGGGAGGAAGTTCAGAGCCTCCTGGGAGATGGGTCCTCCATTACCTGGTAAGAGTTCAAGAGGTAGAAGAACCCTTGATTTGGGTGTGGAGGAGCCCCAGTCCCCAGTCTACTTGACCTTCAGGATGGAACCTTGTTTCAGGGATCACCTGGACCAAATGCCCTATACCACCATGTGCATCAAGGAGGCCCTGAGGCTATACCCACCTGTCCCAGGCATTGTCAGAGAGCTCAGCACACCTGTCACCTTCCCTGATGGGCGCTCGCTACCCAAAGGTATGAGTTTCCCAGGCCCTTTCACTTAAACTCATTCCAGAGATAAGGGAGGATCTGAAGTCTGTGTGCCTCAACATTCCTGAATCTCTGTGGGTGCCCATTTATTTTTCAGTAAGTAAATTCTCCTTCACAAAGTACATTTTTAATGTGGATATAAGCTTAAATGACCTCTTACAAAGTTAACTGATCTCCAATTCTGCTGCTTTGCATGAATGTTTATAAGTATCTCTTGTTGATTGGGTAACACTCATTTTGAATCTATGTCCTGGTCATGATGCATTCTTATATTCTAGACACAATTCTAGTTGCCATCTCTATGTAATTCATAGCCAGATTTATCCTTCATGTGTTCTCAAGGTGTCATGTGTGTTTTTTCATGTTAGTCTGGGAAAACAGGTGTATGTTTGCACATGTAAGGGTAAGCCAAAGGTCAAAGGTTAGTTTCATTCCTCAGGTACTACCTACCTTGACATTTTATAGTTCAGGAGGTCTCTCACTGATCTGTCACTCACCTTTTAGGCTAGGGTGGATGTCTAGTAGGTACCTGCCCCAAACTCACTAGCAGTGCAATTACAAATATGTGCCACTACACACAGCTATTTTATGGGTTCTGCAAATCAAACATAGGTTCCCATGCTTGTACAGCAAGCACTTCACCTATTTATCTGTCTCTCCATCCCAACTGTCACATCTTTCTAGCATCCTCTATAGTTGATATAATTTGTAGAAACTTTATTTATAAAGAATTACTATTATATACAAATCAGTAAATACAATGTGACTGCAGACTCTGGCCAAGGCTATTGTTTACTCTATAACCTGATGGTAAGATCGTATTGCTGAAGACACAACTTACTTATGTCATCATATGTAGAGACAATGACCTGGTGGCCAACTAGCAGCCCTGATTTCTAAACAAAATATTGAACAGGGTTTTTTTCAAGCTAGTTTCACTGATAGTTTTACATTTATAAATGTACAGAACAAAAACACACACACATACATATACATACTGTGACTCAAACCTTAAAAATTCACAAACCCTTGAATTTCATATTATGATTTTATCTATTTAATTGGAGGAAAACAATAGATAAAGGTTCAGACAGAGGTAAGAAAAAGGGTTTTTTTTTTCTTGGTCAAAGCAAACGAAGGAGATCATCAATCCCATGACACGGATCATATATGATCCAGTCTCTGAGAAGCATCAGGTTGATAGTAGAGATGAACTGATGAGCAGACACTAGACTCCTGCATAGTCAGGATATCATCTTTTGTCTCACACCTCATTCTGTCAAAATTCTACTTGTGCCCCTTACTACTTTGGGAATGATATATAACTCCTGTCTGAAACATCATTAACTCACCTGAAAAAACAGACTAAAATAACTGGGGTGTTATGATGGGGACTAAATTATTGTACATCTTTAGTAGAAATCCTTCATCAAACTTAAGTTCTAAGTTGATTCACCCCCAAAACTCAGGTTCATATCTTTCTTGTTCTCTTTCTTTAACTCCATTTTTTTATACTCTTTGTTTGTGCCTCAAGTCCATTTCCAAGTCACCCACATCCACTGAAAGTGATGACCTGTGGTATCCAGACCTTTTGTGCAAGCATGTCCCCTGCTGTCTCAGGAACCAAGGATTTGCACCCTGGGTATAACCCATCTTCTCTCCTATTCCTATCTGCCCCACAGGTATCTCAGTCACACTCTCCATTTATGCACTCCACCACAACCCGAAGGTGTGGCCAAACCCAGAGGTAGGAGGCCCCACAGCAGGGCAGGGGAAGATTCTTCCAGACCAATACTCCCTGCTGTGCCCACCTATAGGCATCTTGTCCCCTGGTTGGTTGAGAGCAGGGGTTTAACCCCTCCCTGTCCTGACTGAAGTGCTGTCTCCCTGCAGGAGTTTGACCCTTCCAGGTTTGCAGCAGATTCTCCCCGACACAGCCACTCATTCCTGCCCTTCTCTGGTGGAGCAAGGTCAGACATAGTGTGTGTGTGTTGATAGAGTACACTGTGGGGAACCTTTGAGCATGCCTTCATGTTTTTAACCTCCTACATGCCTGACATCTACAGGTATATCCTATTGGTGGATATGGAGGGAAACTTCTAGGGGATGTGTCTGTGCACAAAGGGAGGGTAGCATTTCAGAAGGCATTATGAAGACATTGACTCATTGCTCTTCCCATTGGCCAGTCAAGTTTCTATGTCAGTGGATGCCACCCACTTGCCTGTGTTCTGACATTTCCCCTGCTTTAGGGGCAAGACTTTAAGTTGATTTTTTTTTTCATATGAATTTAACCTCAGGCATTCAGCTTTTCAAGTTTTAATAGTCTTAAGTGGCCTGCCTTTTTCCACTCCTCATCCAAGCCTTCATACTTCCTGGGTAGTTCTCTAATTATAGAATCATTGTGGCATATGATAAGTTTGCTTGAGTGTCTGCCATGGACAACTGTCCAGCAAGATACTTAAAGTCTTCCTGTGGGTCATTTGAAGAAAGCTTTATGTCAACCTGCATGGACTCCTCCTGTGCAGTCTCTCTCAACACAACGAAGAATCAGTGCTGATGATTACATCCCTCTAGCAAATGTGTGATGGTCAGACCTTAAGAGAAAATACACCTTCCTTTAAGTTATACTTAGAGGCTGTGTAGCCTGACTTCAGATTAAAAGCATTAAAGAGGATGAGAAGAAACTGTTTTTGAGAAAACCCTCTGTTTTATATGTAGCATATAGTAATTACTAAGGTTCCTGGTGAATGAAATATAAAACACTATTGAAATAGCTACTGAAACAGATGAAGACTTTCCAATGCTTCTAAACAGCTTCTGTGGGACCTTACTCACAGTTAGCTTTAAAAGACGGGGCAGAAGTGGCTTTTTCTGAGCCTATACTTTATGAACTCCTCAGGGGCAAATCAGCTTTCACAGACCAGGCTTTAAGCCAGTTGTTCTTCCAGACACAGCCTGTCTAGGCTTTGGTGAACTTCACGATTGAATGTTCCCACCTCCTCTCACTGCAAATCAGGACACTGACACTAGATCACAGGAGAGTACTGGGAAACTCAGCTAAAGTTGGAATGAACTTTGCTGCTGCTGGCAATTTCTGAGACAGTCTCAGGTTTGCCTGGAGCTCATAATCCCTCTATCCCAATGTTCCAATTCTGAGATTCAAGTACAGGCCACCACACCTTGCTTTGATCATAAGTTTTTTTTTAATTTGTGATTATGTGGCACCAATGAGGAGGTGGACCCAGGCATTAACTTAAGATTACGGGCCAGTTGTCATATGGATAATGGGGAAGATGCATCTGAACCCTCTCCCCGTTGTTAGAAGTGGGTCAGGTATCCTTCATTGTAAGGCTGGGGGGCTTTCCATTTGACCAATATATAAGGCATAACATTCAGTGTGCCGCAATGTTTTTGGAACCTTGGTGATGTTCTCCTTTTGAAAAATTTAAAATGCTTAATGTGAGGAGGGCTCTATATAATTGTATATGGGGGCTATCTATTCCTCTTTTTGTTTTAATAGCTGGTCCTTAAGGATTTGATCATGTCTCTCTATTATAACTCGTCCTTGTGGGTTATATGGGATACCAGTATTGTGTGTAATATCCCAATTTTGAAGGGATTTTGACTCATAAAGCAGGGGCCATTGTCTGTCTTAATATGATTTGGCAGGTCCAGGGAAGCAAAGCATTGGAGGAGGTGATGCTGAGCATGTTTGGCCTTTTCAGCTGTATGGGTTATTGCCCAACAGGCCCTTGAATAGGTATCTATGGTAACAAAGACATATTTGAGGTTCCCAAAAGGAGCAAAATGTATAACATCAGTTTGCCAAATTATATTTGGCCCTAACCCTTAGGAATTAACTCCTGGGGGCTGCAGAGGTAGCACCTTTAGGTCAGGCTGGCATGATTTGCAAGCATGAATTCACTTTTTTAAGTCCTTAATGGGAACCTTGGGAAAGGCCCATTGGAGGCCTCTCTAATTGACGTGTATTAGATCAGGAAGTCGCCCAGCTTGTTCTAGTTGTATTGTTTCCATTCCATTTTTTCATTCTTTGAATTCAAATGAATTAAATTTTAGAGCCAAGTAAAAAAAATCATTATTTTAAGTGTGAAAAAATTATTAAGGCACTACTGTGTGTCAGGTGCTATGCTAGACAAAAATATGGGCATGAATAATGCTCTCCTATCTCAGCCTCCAACTCAAAACTGTATTCCCAAAGACAAACATATCCGTGGTCAAAATATATTCTCCCTCCATTCTTTCACTGAGTAGTTTGCTGAATGTTCCATGTTCCTGACATCATCCTATGCCCTGACTGTGGCATGACCTTGAATATAGCACTGAAATGCCTTGGGTGCTCCTGAAGGACAGGGGCAGTCAGCAAAGAAATGACAGCCAGCTACACATTGGCCTAAGCATTGGGAATATGTAGCTTGAGAGGGAGGAGACATTCTCAAACACATCAACAACTTGATCTGAAGTAGAAAGTCAGATGGGTAGGAAATTGGTGAGGGCAGCAGCCAGTAGAGGGTATGGCAGCAGGTAGATCTGAATACAGCCCCTCACGATGGAGGTACAGAGGGTCATTGACGAGAGAGTCAGGAAAACTAGAGAAGTCAGGAAAGAAAACTGGAGGAGGAACAAGGGATATTTCTGATGTATAGTTAGAAGAATACAGATGATGATAAAGGATGTAGAGGTACCCAAAGTAGGAGACAGAAGGGACAGCAATTGAGGATTCTCTACATTGTCCCTGTAGGAACTTTCCTATCTAACTCCGTTCTTTGGACCCATGTCCTAGATCTCCCTGGCTAGAGTAAAGTAAGCAATGATTAACTTCTTAAATAATTCACAACTTTGACCACGAATCATTACAATACTTGCCTAAAAGATTTCATAATTCTAAAATAACTAGGGCCAAAGTAACCTTGATAAATGTAAAAGCTAAATTAAAAGTCAGGAGACCAAGGCCTGAGAAAGAAGTGGGTGTGGTTTGTGATGGCAGAGAGTAGGCTACACCTGTGGAGGTAGGCACTGGATGTAGTTCTGGTCTATTTGGGGGACCATTCGCTGCTCAGGTCAAAAGTTATTGAGGCTTATTGTCTCTTTCTGACCCAGAAACTGCATTGGGAAACAGTTTGCTATGAATGAGCTGAAGGTGGTAGTGGCCTTGACCCTGCTCCGCTTTGAGCTCCTGCCTGATCCCACCAGGGTCCCCATCCCCATTCTACGACTTGTGTTGAAATCCAAGAATGGGATCCACCTGCATCTCAAGAAGATCCACTGATTCAGGTAGGGCAAGGACAGTAGAGGACGCTGCCTGACATTCTAGCTTCATGCCATCTGTTCCTGTCATCATGTAGCTTTCTATCTGCTCATCTTTCTTCATTCCTGTTTGCTCCCATGCTTCGTGTCCTCCTGACTGTCCCTGCCCCATTCCTTCCTTCCCTGAGATTTCCTATTTGACTTTCTGTGCCCTGCTACCCACATCTGATGCCTTATCTCCTCTGTCCTCCAGCCTCTTCTCCTTGCCTCTTACATTTCTGTCATCTTATTTTTCCCTACATGACTTCTTCCTAACACCAATGATCAACTGTTACAACCTTGGTTGTCTAAAATGATATAGGCTTTTTATCTTACAGCTCTGGATCTCAGAAGTTTGAAATGGGATCCAATGGCAGAAAACCAAGTTGTTGGTGTAGCAAACCTTCATCTGCAGAGTTCACTGGAGAGTCCTCATCCTCCCCTTTTCAGTATAAACCACTAAAAAAAACCAATATAATTCTCCCACATCAATAGCTCTTACTCAATCCAATCTACTATGCCATTTTTCATTATGAGGAAACAGTCATGGGTTCCAAGATTTAGGGCTTGAACATCATTGTGAAGCCTGGCATTGCCTTTTTACATGACTGTCACCTGATCTGTTTGTCTACATCTCTCCTGCACAGTCTCTCTTTACCTGACTGTCCTTCACACAAATTTCTCCATCTTCCCTGCTCTTAACAATAAAATTGCAAGTGTTGCAGTAGTGTTTGTCATGTTCCTACAATGCTTGAAATTGCTCATGGATCAGAATCCATGATGCCATGGACAGACTTCACTGGCATGCCCTGACTGCATCCTGGAACATGCTTCTCCTGAAGCCGCTGTTTGCAACAAGGACCTCCTACTAGTCTCCTGACCTACCAGTTTGATGGGCTAATGAAGGTGGGTTCTGAGGAAGTGTAGGAGAGGAAAGACTGGATACTCAGTGCCTGACCAAGGGGAGAGCCCAAGTTGTCAAGCACAGATGTTCAAGCAATACAGAAAGTCTTATGCTGGCTATGTTGAGACACACAGGAAAGTGAGAGCTCAGAACTCTGGGTGCCCAGCCAAGGAAAAAGACTCTAACCACAGGATTACAAATGGGATGAAATGTGTAACCAGAAAGTGATTCTACAGCCTGGAAGCAATGAGCAAGAGTGGCTCAGTCCACTGTCATGTACATTCCCCCTCCATGATGCACACAAAGTGACACTCATGTAAGCACTTTACACATGCCCATAGCACCTTCCACCCACACATATGTATGTGCATGCCCAAGATCAATGGAGCCTTGGGGAGTGTTTGAAATTTCCTAAAGATGAAGCAGTGGTCTTCGGTGATGACCACCACTTCCAGTGCCCACCCTCCCTCACCTAGGAGGTCTCAGTGCACACATATACACAAGCAAATATCCTGATGCTCAGGAGATCACACACAAACATCAGAGTCAGACTTTTTGGCTTTATTCCCACTGATACATATACTCAAGAAGAACTCATATTAATAAAGGAGCTTTGAATAAAAGATGTCAGAGTCTAGCTGGGAAACAAGCATTGGACCGACTCAGACCCCCCTGAACATGGGTCTCAGAAGGCCTGGGCAGTCTAAGGGACCTCTGACAGTGGAACCAGGATGTATCCCTGGTGCACGAAATGACTTTGAAAGCACATCTCCCATGGAGGGGATACTCCCTTAACCTAGAGGCAGAGGGGAGGGCCTAGTCCCTACCCCAAAAGACTTAACAGATTTTGTTGATTCCTCCTGGAAGGAATCACCCTCCCTGTGGAGTGGGGGGGGGTTGGGTCAGAAGGGAGGGAGGAAGGGAGGTAGAGAGAGGGAGGGAGGGGGGAGAAGGGAGGAAGAGAGAGGGAACTGGGATCTATATGTAAAATAAGAAAAAAAAAAAGATGTCAGAGTCAGGAAACCTCAACTTAAGTTCCTTCTACATTAGTGTCTCTTGGGATCTTCCCTTACTATTAAAATGCAGTCACAGTTTCTCTCATCAGAGAAGAGCTGCCTCCATCCTGTCCACATCTCACAATAGCCGAGTTTCCAAAAATCTAAAATTATATAGTTTAGATTCAGGTGCCACCTAGAGGCACATTTTGGTTATAACTAGACTATCGGCACTGAGTGTAACTATTGAAACCTTACTACTTTTGTTCAGAGAGCAGTCTACATGACACAGGACACCATAGAGCAGTTGTTCTCAACCTTCCTATTGCTAGGACCCTTTAATATAGTTAGTTCCTTATGTTGTGGTGACCCCAAATCATAAAATTATTTTCATTGCTACTTCATATCTAAACTTTTGCTACTGTTGTGAAACACAATATAAATATCTGTGTTTTCTGATGATCTTAGGTGACCAATGTGAAAGGGTCTTTAACACCTCACCTCTTTACCCCTGTTGAGTACTGCTGCCCTAGAGACTTCACCAAGTTCCAGGAATAAAATTTCTAACTCCTGGCTCTGATCATAATTTCTAGTGCCCTTCCTTCCCTGTGGGGTTTTCCTGGATTTGCAACTCCTAGTCACCTTAGACCTTGAGCCTTAGAGATATGGGTGCCCATAGCCACGAAGCAGCTGCTGCACGGATGCCAGGGAAATATGTCTAAGTCATCATGTGGGCTCCACCCTGAACTCCACCCCAAAAGTTCTTCTTTGCACATTCATGTCTTGTGGAAAGAAGTTTCCTTTCTCCAAGGAAGCTTCCTTTAACTCTACTGCACCACCTTCCCTAGAAATACTGTGAATGCCCAGAGCGCTGTATGACTACGAGACATCACTGTCAAGAATGACAATAGCATCACAGCATCACAGAGATGTGTCCCAAGAAAGAAATCACACCAGGAAAGATACCTTTCAAATTCTTTTACTTCAGCAGTACAAGTTTGTGTTAAGAATTATTCTTTATTTTTTACAGAATTAGCTTAAAGAAGTTTTCTTTATGTCTATTATATTTCAAATACACACAGAGGAAGTTAAAGAAATGCAATGAAGAGCCACCTTATATCCAAGCCATCCCTCCTTCACATCCATCCTTCACAAATCTCAAGGCAACATTTTCTGTCTTCACTGACCTTTCTTCAAGGGCTGGAATGCAAGGTTCTGGTTTTTATTTGTTTATTTTAGAAAGACATGCAGCTATGAGAAATAAATTAAATTTCTTGAGTCAGCCAGATGTTCAACAAATATTTGTGAAGTGAAGGAATGAACTCCAGAGTCCAGATATTGTCACCTGACACACATGATTTCAAGGGACTGCCTTCCATGAGACTATCAGTGTCAATGCTTTCACATCTATGACCCCCCAAGCAGGGATCCATGACAACTCCACATTCAATCTACAAGGCAATGTCCCAGGAAAAGCCACAGCCTGCGCTGCCCATGCCATGATCTCTGAAGACCTATTTTCCAGAGCCCAGTGACTTCAGGTAGAGATGGATGCCGTTTTTGGAGCGCAGGACCAGCTGGGGAATCTTAATGGGCAGCTTTGAGGGATCCAGGGAGAATTCAAAGCGCAGCAAACAAAGAGCTGTGACCACCTTCATCTCGTTCATGGCAAACTGCTGCCCAATGCAGTTCCTGCAGCAGGCAAAAGAGGCATCAAGTTGTTGGCTACCCAGTGTCCTTAGAGGCCCACAAAAACAATAACTATTTAAGGATGCATAAGATATGATTGATTTGTTGACCTTGGCCTAAAAGCAAAAGTCAGGAGCATGGTAAAGGGTCCCCTGGGGAATTACACCATTGCAAGTTCTGGCTTGCAGTCTCTCACAGAATGGAACACCTACCCCACCCATTTCCCAGGAACAGGGGAAAAATAGCAAAAGACCCCCATTGTCACAGAGTACTCCATAACAATGCCTCCCCAATGATGGAATTCACTTGAGGACCTGAGAATGTTGTCCTTCTCCCTACCTGGGCCCGGCAGAGAAAGGCATGAAGGCAAAGGGGTGGCGTCCTGTCACATTCTCAGGAGAAAAGCGCAATGGGTCAAAGACCTAAGAGATAGTTTTTTTTTTTTAAATACTCAGCAAACCCTGGCAGAGGTAACCCCACAGCCCACACCCTGTTGGCCCTCCATGCCCAGATGCAGTACCTCTGGGTCAGGCCACACAGCACTGTTCCTGTGGAGGGCATAGATGTGCATAGAGATCAGGCTGCCTGTAAACAGAAAAGAGGCCTGATGACAAGGGGTCCTGAGGCAGTCATGCCCACCTCCACATTAGGCCTCAATCCCCAAGATTCCTCCTATCTGGTACACGAGCCTCTGCCTATGCACTGCCAGTGACATTGAACTCTTGGTCACATTCAAAGTAGCTTAATCACCATAACCAACAGCTCCAGTAGCCAGGTACTAAGATTAATGCCTAACCAAGAGATCTGTGGAATGAAAACAAAGAACACTGAACCTACCCCACCACAAAGTGGGATAGGCAGAAGCTGTTTATTACAGCCTTTTGACCTTCAATTAACTAACATCAAGAAGTTATCATGCTATTAATAAGAGATACCCTTCATTTGATGCTTACTACATGTCAGACTCAGGTCTGAATAATTTATGAAGGCACAACACAGAGTTGGACATGTGGCATATGCATTGCATCACAGTCAATGCATCATCTCCCAGAGTTGTCCAGAGTGCAATCAGATAAGGTGTGTATAAAAACCCTGAAGACCTTCCTTTATTGTAGGGTTGTTTTAGGTATCCTGGGTCTTTTGTTTTTCCATATAAAGTTGAGTATTTTTTTCAAGGTCTGTGAAGAATTGTGCTAGGATTTTAATGGGGATTGCATTGAATCTGCTTTTGGCAAGATTGACATTTTTACTATGTTGATCCTGCCTATCCAAGAGCATGGAGGATCTTTTCATTTTCTGGTATCTTCTTAGTTTCTTTCTTTAAAGACACAAAGTTCTTGCTATATAGGTCTTTCATTTGTTTGGTTAGCATTACTCCAAGATAATTTATGTTGTTTGTGGATATTGTAGAAGTCTCTTTTTAATTCTGACAACTATGAAAAATATATTCTTTCCTCCCCTCTATTTTCATGTTTGTTTTATTTTATGCAATCATCATAATCTGCTTGTTAAGAAGCACCATAGTAGAATGATCTGATACAGTTTTAAACAAAAGAAAAAGAGAAAATTTTCAGGTTACAAGAAGCCTTCTCCCGAGAACAAAGCACCAACTGTACCCAGTGATTAGCCATGCCTGGATCCTACTGCACTAATGGTCAAAAAGACGACCCAAATTTCACAATGACTGTCTCAAAGGAATAACTCATGCTGGATTCTTTTGAGAGAGAGAAAAATAATCCTTGCTACTTCAGTCCATAGAAAAAGGAATCCACATAATCACCCTGAAACCTAGGAGAGAAATGAACTTTATATACCCATATTTATATTTATACCCTCAGCCATATTTTACAGAAGAAGAGTTAGATGTTTCAGGCACAGACAATTTGAGTCTGTGAGGCTGGAGCTTGGGCCCAGGGCTCAGCACACAAATCCTGAACTCCCTCCACCTGTTGTAAAGATTGTACAATGGCACAGGCAATATCAGAGAGCAAGGTAAGGACTTTCACTCCACCCTCAGTGTTTTCCCCAACCCACCTGCAGGTAGAGAACGGCCATCTGAAAAGGTGACTGGCTTGCTGAGCTGGCGGAACACCTGGGGCACAGGTGGGTAGAGGCGGAAGCATTCCTTCATAC